TGGGCACCCCCGAATGCCAGGCTCTGTGCTGAGGGTATGTCATCCACCTCAAGGAAACACATGTGATTGGCTTCTTTGCAGCGTAAGACAACAGAGCAGGGCTGGCCGACCCAGGTGCTGTTCCTTCTGGGTTGAATACATTGCCCTCTCTCAGCAGGGCTGCTTGTTCTCCAAACCCCCACCACTCAGCACTAGCTGAGGTTGGGCCTAGCCTAGAGGTTCACCCAACCTCATCTTCTCACAACTCCAACAATACAAAAAGCTAACTATTTGCTGCTTCCCAGGGGGCTTCCATCTTCCTGCCTCTGTCCTCCTAGCCTCCTGGTTTTTGTTATTCCTTCTTCCCAGCCTAGATCTGCTCCAGTGGCCAGCAGAGCCCTAAGGCCTCTGGCTCCCTAAGGGCCACTCCTTGTCCTCATGAGTTTGCCTCCTGCTTCTGCCACCTGCCCCAGGATCCAAAGACTCTCTTGGAGAGATGAGGAAGCTGGGTCCCTTCCCTCCCCACTGGGGGAAGCCCAGCCACTGACACTTATGGAGTCTTATGAACCTTCTGGCTGGAGGAGACCCTCTTGCCATGCAGGGCTCCTGCCCACGCCACCTGCCCAAGCAACCTACTTCTTTCCAATAGGGGACGTTCTCCCTCATCAGTTCCAGCCTTGACTGCATGGGGCACCTCTAGGGACATCCATGAGGTTAACTTTATATTCCACGTGCTAAGAATTGACAACCAAGGGTCTGAAGCCAGAGGTTCTGATTCTGGCCCTTCTAAGCACATTGTCGGATGATTGAGGGGGGTGTGCCATAATGGACATCATTCCATTGGTTGAGGCCCAGGCCTCTCTTCCACACCATCTTGTGAGATTTCTGCACCTTTTTTGGGGGACTATTTCTTTAAGGATTTCTTCTGGTTTACAGTAGTGTCACCAGGGCCACAGCTTTGCAGGAGAACCACACAGCACCTATTGAGCATTCTGGTGACTGGCACCGTGCTAAAACACTCTGTAAGGATTTTCTTATTTCTTCCTCTCAACCATCTTATAGATGAGAGAACTGGGGTTCAGAAGTGAAGTTACTTTACCCGTCATGGTGGACTCAGGTCCAACCTAACTTCCATGATGTCACATACCACCAATGCTCTACACAAAGTGCCCAGGAGTCACAAGGGTCTCCAGAGATGCTTACTCCCCTACAGCCCCCATGACACCATGTGGAGGGGTGAGTGAAGTGGGCAGTAGAACAGGGTTGATGCCCTGGGGGAAGGCTCAGCATTCAAAGGCCCAAGATAGCATCTGTAGGACAATTATATTCTGTCATGTACACACAGGGTCTCTCTAGTGGTGTAAGGACGTGGCAGTACTCCTGACCAAAGAGAGGAATCAGAAGAGACAGTCATCCCAATGGCCAGGACAGGGATGGCTGTGATCACCCCCTGGCTCTGGGCACCAACCTGCCATACTTCTGTACGTGCTGGCCCAGCATCCCCCCACCCCCTCAAACCCACACCCGAAACCCTGAAGGGCGCAGCTGGGGCTCTGCAGGTGTTTCCTATGATGAAGCAAAGGGAAGGGCTAGTGAGGAAGGCAACACCTGAGGAAGATGGAACCAGATCCTCTGGCTTTGTGCAGGGAGGGCCTGCCTGAGCAGGAGACCTCCCCAGCTCGAGTCCCTGGTCACCTCGACCTCTTACCCTCACGCTTTTGGCCATGTCTACCCCAGTGTGGGCTGCCCAGCCCCTACCGAGGCCTCCAGATGGTCCCTCCTCCCAGTGCTGCTCTGCTGAATGGCAGCCCCCACTCAGGCACTGCTGGGCTCCACAGCCACCCATATCAGCCTCCATGACTTGCTTCACCTGTGTCAGCCTGTTCCTCCATGCTCAGAGCTCCCCACAGAGCCTGGAATAGCACCAAGCTTAGGAAATACTTGTTAGTAGGTAAACAGTGGGGTGGGCCAAGGCCCCTTGTCCAGGCCTGAAGCAGAGGTCAGCATGCAGGGATAAGACCCCTAGGTACAAAGGCCCATCCCAGTTTGCTGTTAGCTCCCTGTGCTATGTCAGGAAAAGTCTCGAGCCTCGCTGAGCACGGTCACAGAACAGGGGTGAACACGATGATATTTGAGCTCCCTTCTGTGTCATAAAGGAGGCCAGAAAAGCTCAGTCAAAATCCTGCCTCTGACAACAAACTTGAACTAACCATGTCACCTCTCTGAGCCTCAGTTTGCTCAACTGCAAAATGTGACGATACCAGTTCCAGCCTCAGAGGTTGGGAGGATCAGTGAGCTCATAACCTTGAAAATGAACACAAAGCCCCCCAGGACTGTATGAATGTGAACGATCGTAAGGAAAGTCGTGTAAGCCAGGGCGGGTCTGTGTATATGTACAATGGTTAAAGAAACTATTCCTTGTCAAGGAAAATCTGACACTTTAAGCTAAAAAGGGGGTACTTCCCTGGCAGACCAATGGTTAAGACTGCGCTTCAAATGCAGAGGACACGGGTTTGATCCCTGGTCGGGGAACTAAGATCACACATGCCATGCAGCGTGGCCAAAAAAAAAGGAAGAATAAGCTGAAAAGGAGCCTCGGTGCGGCTCAGCCCAGGTGCTCCCAGCTCCGCCTCCCTGTCTATGGCAGATTCGCCCACAGGATGCAGCGATGCACCCTCTGTTCCCTGGAGGTTAAACTGAGGAGAAGCAATCTGCATTCATCTCAGATCTGTGCCTCAGGAGGACTTTCCCTCCCCTTTCTCCCCAGATCGTCATCGTTGTCCAACTACAACAGAAACCCTCAGCAGGAGGCAGAATTCCTTCCCACCCCTTCTCCCCTCACCGGGTCCCTCAGGCCGCTGGGGCTCCTACTTTTGTGACAACAGCGAAATTCTTGTTTTCCTCTTCAAGCACTTTCCTATCCTCTGCCTCCCACATTCTTCCAGCCCCTTTCCAGGGGGCTCATCCCTCTGTCTTGCTCAGGTCACAGCTTAAACGAGGGCTGCAACCCGCATCTGCGGCTTCCCCAGTTCTGGACGAGGAAAGAGGTTGGTTCTGATTTTGTGAGGGCCTGGGCAGAATCAAGACAAATCTCTTCTCTCGCCCAGAATAAATTATACCTCCTACTGAGAATTTCTGATGTAGTTGGATGATGCTGAGGAATTTATTATCTTACAGTTTTGGAAGTCAGAAGCCCGAAATCAGTTTCACTGGGCTCAAATCAGTGTCAGCAGTCTGGCGTTCCTTCTGGAAGCTCTAGGGGAGAATCCATTTCCTTGTTTTTTTCTAACTTCTAGAGGCTGCCTGTATTCCTTGGCTTTTAGCGCCTTCCTCCCTCTTTAAAGCACGTTGCTTCTGCTTCTATGGGCAAATCCCCTTCTACCTTTGGCATTCTTGCCTCCTCTTATAAGGACCGTTGTAATTATTACACTGGGCCCACCTGGATAATGCAGAACACTCTCCCCACCTGAAAATCCTTAACTTAATCACATCTGCAGAGTTCCTTTTGCCACATAAAGTAACATATTCACAGGTTTCAGGGATTAGGGCATGGACACCTTTCAGGGGCCACCATTCAGCCCATGCAGGCAGGTCACTTAACCCCTGAGCCTTGGTTTCATCAGCCAAGTGGGGAACAAATGCCCACCCCCCAGACTCCCATGGGTCAACTCAGTGGTGGCCTGGCATATCCATGGCCCAGGAATGGAGGCTGAGCTCTCAGTGTCAGGCCTTATTCCCAGCCAACCCAGAAAGGATGGTTCCTGGGAGATGGAAGGGGAGAGTGAGGGGTTTGGGTTTGGTCATTCCCTGTAACGGAGCTTCTCCGGGGAAGCTGGGAGAGCCCGTCTGCACTAACATTGCCAAGTCGGTCACAAGTTTACTGGCCCAGTGCTGGACCCAGAGGGCATAACTGCCCAGCAGAGTGGATCCGATAGCCGGGAGGGTCGTCTAGGGCTCCTCCTTCTCTCTCACGCCGCCTCCAGGTAGGCAGCAAGTCCTGTCAATCTCCTCTAAACATCGCTCAGGCTCCTTCTCTTCACCCCACTGCCACAGCCAGCAGGAGCCCCGTCCGCGCTCCCCTGACTCCTTGCCTCCTCCTGGCCCCACTGCCTCAGGCCTCCCCATCCCGCACCCCACACGCGCATCTCCCTGAAGCATCATCCCAGACCATGACCCTCCCTTTTGTGGTCCCCCCATATCCTTGGGTGGAAGCCCAAGCTCTTTACCCTGAGTTACGCGGTCTCTTTCCACCTCCCTGCAAGCTCTGGGACATCAGAGCCGCAGCAAGCAAGTGGCAGATGTGTGAGGGCAGACCTGGGAATGGAGGCGAAGCAGATGAGGGATGGAGGATGGGGGATACTGTGCAGATGGTGTAGCAGGGACCAGCCTGACCCCAAAGGCCCACATACAGGTACAGTAGGCTTTGCTACACTGGCAGGTGCAGGCCGTGAGCTACATCAGCTGCTATTTAACCTAGGTGGGCCAGTGGGTGGGCACCAGGTAAGGCCCAGCCATGCAGCTGCTGGCCTGGAACTAACTCAAGTGCGAAATGGCTCCTGAGTTCTGCTTATTATTCTGAAGTCTGGAAGAACAAGTAGGAAGTCTTTTCTCTGCAAATGATTTTGGCCAAACTCCAGGGATGAGGAATGCCCATTGGGGCCTGGCCGGGCTGAAGGCCAATGGCTTACTGGGGGAATGATTTGGTTTCTTTCTGCATCAGCTAAAGACATGTAAACTGAATCCAGGGCCCCCATGTACCTGAGCCACAACCATGAAGCTTAATTAATGCTTGCAAAGTACTCCGAGGCCCCGGATGAGAGGCCTCCCGTGGACACAGAATATCCTTATTAATCACTGCTGCGGCGCCAAGTGGGCTGGCCTGTGGGGCAGTTGCCTCCACGCACAGAACAATGGATGCAGTGGAGCAGTTAAATTGTGATTTTGAAGAGCGGTCCTGATCAGCTGGCCCAAAAGCAGCTCAGCTGGGGCAGGCAGGCCTGTGTGGGAGCCACTTAACTCACCTAGCCGTTATCTCCGTGCATTAAGTAGAGGTGGTAGAACCTTCCACCTGGCTGGGCAGGGATAAAAGGGATAAGGGTGAAGTGCCGCTTATCATCCCAGGTAAGCAGGCTGTACAGCTTTGCAAGGGCTAGACAGGCTCCATATCAGGCTGGGTATCTTTGGGCAAGTCCGTCAACCTCTCTGAGCCTCAGTTTCCTCATCCGTAAAGAGTGATAATAATAATATCTTCTCCCTGATAGGATTGTGAGATTCAAATGACACAGTACATGAAAAGGCCTTGGCCTACAGCAATGATATCAATAAAATAATAATACCAATAGCTGGTAAGGATGCTACCATGTGCCAGGCACCCATCTAAACACATCCCATAATTAGCTTCTCTGAGTCCCAATTTACAGATGAGGGAGCCTGGCACAAAGAAGTCAAGTGACCTCCAGTTTCCCATACTCAGTGAGAGGTGGAGCCAGGATTTGGGCCCAGGCAGTCTGGCTCCAAAATCTGTTCTCTCCCCGACTCTCTGATGCTGCCTTTATCATCATTGTCATTATACTTACGTTAGGAATAAGGCTGAGTACTTCATCATCATCATCCCACGGGGTAAATGCACGAGCCAGTGCTTGGAAACTGGACCCGGAGGCATCCGCTATGTAGAGCATGAGGGAAGGGTCCCTGGTCGTCTCTGACCCTCTATCTTACATAGGAAGGGAAGAAACTTATTGTTATTGAGATGGAGGTGAAGTACATGGATTTTCTCAACTCGTCAAAATTCTGGAGGTGCAAGGAAATGTGTAGATAACAGTTTTTAAGGAGAAAAGTCAATAGATGCTGAAAGAGACTGAAAATGCAACCCTGCCCCGCCTCCTTCCTCAGGCTATGCACTGAGGGGAACATTGTCCCCACAGGGGATAGACAAGGGGCTGCCTGTGGGTGATAGAGTAGGAGGTCCCTGGTCCCCCAGACATCGACTGTCCCTCTTGCATTGGTTGATCCCAGAAATGAAGGCTTCTGAGGCCTGATGAAGTCCTGAGGCCGGTTCATGTGCTCAACCCATGTCCCCGAACTTCAGCTGGCCCAGCAGCGGGACCCTGGCTCAGGGCTGTCAACCCCGAGCCTCTCCCTGTCTCACTGGTGGCCATAGCGGCTCTGTGAAGCTTCCTCCCAGACTCACCTGGCCCCTCCCAAGCCAGCCTCAGGGGTGTGGCCTAGTACACCTCGCCCCTCCAAGAGTAAATTCCCAGCCAGGTACTTGCTGGGCCCTAGCCTCCCCCAACTTCTTCGCTCCTCTCCCCTGTCCTGAGGCCCACTCCTACAAATAGACCAACCAGTGCCTCCTCTGTGCTTACCCCCTCTCCATCCTGCCCTTGAGCCCCCCTGTCAGCATCGTGTCCTCATGCCATCCCCGTGTCCTCCCAAAGAGATGCACCCAGGAGGCCTGTTCTAGATCTGCCTACAGATGATTCCTGCTCCAGACCCCTCATCTCCAAGAAAAACCAGCAACTCCAGTTTCACACCCATTTTTGGATGAGCTCCAGGCCAAGGTTCAGGCCCGTGTGGCATTTACGAGGGGACAGAGCCAGGTACCTGTTGACTTTAGGAACAAATAAAAGATAGATTTTCCTAAGCCACCACCCTCTTGAAATGGGCTTTTCTGTTCTAATACGAGTTCCAAACTGGTTTGCAAGGTGACATGTGACATATGGGATGCTAGGACAGACTACAAAATGCGTGGGATCCTCCTAAGCTGGCTGGAGGGGGATATGATGCCGACATGGATTTATTCTTTGCCTTTTCCACTTGCCTTTTGGGGAACATGTCCCTGCAGGAAAGTGAGTCTCTCACCCGAGGAAAGATCTCAGCTTTAAAAAATTTAGTGCACTTCTTTTTATATCAGATGGTTATATTTAAAGTATTCAAAGGCCTAGATTTACATCATCTTGGTTAAATTACTCATCACATATCTCTCATCTACAACCTTTTTTTCATTTTCTGAAGGCTCAGTTTACATTAAGAATTTTACTTTCAGTTTTTCTCCAGCCAAGTATGTGCTCGTTTATATCATGAATTTTTTTTTTTTTTTTTTTGCGGTACACAGGCCTCTCACTGCTATGGCCTCGCCCGTTGCGGAGCACAGGCTCCAGACGCGCAGGCTCAGCGGCCATGGCTCACGGGCCCAGCCACTCCGCGGCACGTGGGATCTTCCCGTACCGGGGCATGAACCCGTGTCCCCTGCATCGGAAGGCGGACTCTCAACCACTGCGCTACCAGGGAAGCCCCTATCATGAATGTTTTAACTGTGTGTCCACCTGCCTGGATTAACAATCCGTGAACACCTCCACTGCCCCTGCTGCTGGTCCACACAGTCTGCTGGGAGCCGTGGACGCCTGGGTGCCCGTCCTTCTCCCACGAGAAAGTGAAACCCAAGGGCCCCGAAATGCCTCTTGGCTAATAGGCAGCATGTGACAGGGAGGAAGGAGGGAGATCAGACCACCTGATAGGGCAGGTTCATGAGAGCAACACAATTTCATTTAAAAATTGTTATTAACATCTTCCATTGATTGAGCACTTGATGTGTATCAGCCATGTGTTTACTGTATGTATCTTCAAAATAATCCTGTGATGCAGGCATCAGGCCCACTCCCTGGCTGAAGAAACTATAGTTCAGAGAAATTGTGACTTGGCAAATGTCCCAGCTGGTAACCAGCAGCCAGGTCTGTCTGACAACACAGCCCTAACACTGTATGTATGTGTTTTCTCATTAATACCTCATCTCGTTCCAAACAGACTTTGAGGCAGCTCAGAGGGAGCTGTGTGATACAGCAAAGCAACACAAATAACAGCAGTGAGGAAGGTGTGTTAAGGGAACTCAGAAGGCACCAGGGTGTCTTGCAACACGGACTGAGCTCCAAGCTTCCTAGCAGCCAAAGCAAAGAAAGCATGAGCTCTTCCCCAATTGTTGGTGTAGGTAGCATAAACACAAATCAAACACAGGCCAAGGTCCCGAAGAAGCACAATTTTTCCTAAGTTCTAGTCCAAAAACAAATATCTCCCAAGTAACCCTTAGGAAGGCTTGAGTGTAACAGTAGAACAATTGAGACATCTCAGCAGCCCCGGCACAGCATGGCCAGGCAGGATAGCTCTGGATTGGGAGTTTGAGGGGGTTGAGGGGTGCTGGGTCAGCCCTGCCTCTCTCTGAGCTCAGCCATGGCAGCTGTCTTAGCTTGGTTTCCCCGAGTTGTGTGCAGACTTGACGGTGAGTGCAAGGAAGTGACGAAGGCAGGATTGGGAAGAGGGAGAAACTGAGCCAGACTGTGGTTGCACCTGAGGCCTTAGCAGTTCTGCAGGGAACTCAGGAGCTGAGATGGCCCCTCAGAGTTGTCCCAAACGGAGGCCAAGGGGCCTGGCCTTGGTGCTTCCTCCCCAGGCCAACCTCTGGGAAAGGGCTTAACCTTGAGTGAGGCAGTTCACCTCTGCCAAGGGCAATTCCAGGAAGGGATGCAGCTTCGAGATAGTCCCAGCATCTAGAGGATAGATGTGCCAGCCCTGAAGACAAGGTCTAGGCAGACACCACAGCAGCCACTACAAAGAGCCCTTGGGTATGGCATTTGTTTGTTTGGTTTTTTTTTCTTCTCTTTGGCCGCGCTGTGCCGCATGTGGGATCTTACCCCGACCAGGGATCGAACCCCATGCCTCCTGCAGTGGGAACGTGGAGTCTTAACCACTGGACTGCCAGGGAAGTCCGGGTACAGCATTTGTGACTGAGTGCCCCAGAAATCTGTAGGGAGCTCTCCAGCCATGGAGCTCTTAGGGGGACTGACACATCCTCCAAGGACACAGGCCTCCTGCCTGGACTTGGACAAAGCAGGCCCTTGGACCAGCCAAGATGCCCCTGGAATACAGCATTGCCTGTGCTCTGACACACCAAGTGCTGAAGCCCTAAGGGCTGCTCTGGTTAGCGTGGGGAGTAATAACTTCAGCCTGGAAACTGCTAAACACCCACCGAAGGCACACCTACCTACACACACACAACTTAAGAAATAAAAGATCCACCAAGCGCCGGGCTTTAGCAGTATTACTGCTTCCTGGTGAACTTGCCAAGGTAAACTGTTTGCTAGGCATACAAGGAGGAGGCAGAGTGAGGGGACGAGTTGGGTGACGCCTATAAGAGGAAACTGCCAGGCTTAGGGGAAGACGACAATGGTCTTAGACTTGCAGTTAGTTGGTGACGTGCTGCAGGAGGGATTGGGAGCAAGTCCTGCTGGGGCGGCTGCAATGACTTGGGGAGGGAACAGTGGGGTGGGAGTGTAGACCTGGGACAGCTCAGGGTCTGAGGCCCCAGGGAGGGGGAGATGGGAAGGGGCTGGCAGGGGACAAGGGAGAGATGCGGGAGGGGAGGAGTGAGACACAGCAAAAGGAAAGGGTCCAGCTCTGAGCCATGCCCCGTGACAGTTTTCATTCACAGCAAGGAGTCCTCTCTGACCGGGGCCCAGCAGGCAGCATCTGGCACCTGCCTGATCACCAGACACAGAGGTGACAGCAGCCTGTAACTTTTCTTATTGGAGGTCTGCTCTCAGAGCCTCATGGAAGGCAGAATCCACAGCTCCATTCAGATTCCATTTGGTTCTTTCTGCCTGGCCTCACCTAGCTGCCCTTCAGTGCAGATGTTGTTGGTTTGTAGCTAATTCAATGAACTCTTTAAATAGCCACGCTAATGGATCACCAATCATTTCAGAACTTTAATACTAAATCAGGCTGTTGGACACATCTGGGGGCAAAGCTGCTGTATCCGAGCCCAAAACAGCCCTTTCTCTTTTACTTTGCAAAGCAGAGCATGTCACGTTAAATACCTAATGGTCTAAGACAGGTCTCTTGTGACCTGAAAAAAAAGCTGAAGAGGTAGACTCTCTCCAAGAGCCCACAAATTATGTATGTAATTTGTAGATCTTTTAAAATTAGGCACTTCATTTGAAGAGCATAAAGGATAGTAAAATAGAACCTCATGTTAACGTTTAAAATAAGTGTTTGCTGTAAGTATTTTTAAAGTCAAGATTAAAATAACATAAACACAGTAGCCCTGGTTTCACTTTTATCTAAATTAAAAAGATCCTGTCAGGGAGAAAATGTAAGATGTGGGATAAAGTTTCCACAGACAGATCTCCTGGAAACTCCCAAGAAGCCCACTTTGAACCTTCTATCCAGGAAAACAGACCATCTGCAGAGCTGGCTGAAACCACAGCATGAACCTCGGCATTGCTGGTTGGGCTAAATGCTTCTGTCACCCACAGGTTAACCCAGCCAGGAGTCCAGTCTCTCAGGCAACGCTCCCCATGGCCCTGACCCCTGTAGCCTCTTGTCTCCGGGTCCCCCTGTCTCCACATTCTCCCTGTCACCCCTCTGTCCACTCCTTAGGCTTCTCCATGGAATCTGTTTCCTTAAGCTCGAATGCCCGTCATTCCTGGAGCTTGTCCTGGCCCTCTCTGGGCCTCACCCTACACTCTCCCTGTGGGATCTCGTCCGCTCTTTGGCTTCAGTTACCGGCCACCCGTGTGCTGGCCTCATATACTTTTCTACCTCTGGCTTGACTTTCTCTCTAACTGCGCACTTTTATGTCCTACAGCACCTCAGTCCACCTGGATGTCGCTCAGGCACCTCAGTTTCTACCTGCCCAACTCTGACTCACCACCGCCACCCACA